AGCCAGGGGCCACTCGGTGAGGCAGGTGTGCAGGCACAGCTCAGGCTGGAGGTGGAGCAGGAGCCCTGGGAAAAGCCCCCGGCAGGCCAGTGCCCACCCTAACACACGAAGACTGTGCTGGTCAGCTCTATGTGTCCACTGGCCCAGGCTGCAGCACTCAGCAAGTCAATCAAACACAAGCCCAGGTGCTGCAGTGAAAGTCCTCCATACACGTGGTGAATCAACAATCAGCTGACTTACAGGAGATTTTCTTTGGTAATATGGGGGGTCTCGTCCAATTAGTTGAAGGCCTTAAGAGCCAAACTGAGGTTTTCCTGAGAAAGAAGAAATTTCTGCCTCAAGACATGCGTACATACATACGCACTTATACTTACACATACACACATCTACTGCCCCTGTTTTTCTGGAGATCCCTGACTGATAAAGCACCAACTAGTCACTGTAAGAACTAAGTTTCTGCTGCAGTGGGTATAACCATTACAACAACAAATTCCAACTCCAGTTAACTACTTATTAAACTCTAGACTATACAATTTACCTCATTCTCTATTGTTCTTCTACACACAACGTCCAGCATACAATTAAAATTTATAAAGCACACAAAAAAAGCAAGAAAAAGCAAATTACAGTCAAGAGATAAAGGAATTAAGAGACTCGGACTCAGGGATGACTCTGATTTCTGAACTATAGGTCAAGGACTGTAAGGTAACTATGATAAACACAGCAGAGGCTCTAGAAGGAGGTGGACGATATGCATTTCACCCGACAGATGGAAACCAAAATAATCAATGGAAATGCTATAAAGAAAAACTCTGTATCAGAGAAAAAGAATTTCTTTGACTGGTTTATTGGCAGACTAACAAAAGCTCAATGCAACATGGGAGAGAACAAATGAAAGCGCACACAGAAGAGCTACAGTACCATGTCCAACAGTGCAATACACAGAGAACTGAGTCTCAGAAGAGACACACGGAAGCGCTGCGGCACAATGGCCAACAGCGCGATACGCAGAGAGCCAAGTCCCAGAAGACAGAGACACACGGAAGAGCTGCAGTACCATGTCCAACAGCACAATACGCAGACAGCTGAGTCCCAGAAGACAGAGAAAACAAACAAGAACTATTTGAAAAGATAATGGATGGGAACTTTTCAAAAATGAAGATGTCGAACTACACATCCAAGAAGCTCACAGAAACACAAAAAGAATAAATTTCACAGGTGCATTACTGGGCACCCACGGTCACAGCTACTCAGGAGGCAGAGGCAAGAGGATCACTTGAGCCCAGAAGTTCAAGTATAGCCCAGCCTGGGCAACACGGAGAGACATCTATCTCTTTTAAAAAAAAAAGAGGGGGGGGGGCAAAGAGAATAAATCCCAAAACCAAAAAGAAAAAAACAAAACCAATAGGTTATACACCAAAACTACTGAGAATACAAAGGGAACATCTTGAAGGTTGCCAGAGAGAAATGAAACCAAATATACAGAGAAACAAAGAATTGCAGCAGACTTCTCCGAAACTGCTAGCCAGAAGACAACAGGTGACAGTTTCAAAAGGCAGTACTAAAAGAGTCAACAGAAAATTCTATAACCAGAAAAAACGTCTTTCAACCACAAAGACAAAATGAATAATTTTCCATTAAAAATCTAGGAAAATTTAATGTCTACAGACCAGCACTTCAAGATACGTTAAAGTTCTTCGGGAAGAAAGATGATGATACCAGATAGAAACATGGACCTGGGGAAAGAAATGAATGGTCCTCAAAACAATAAATACGAAGGTAAATATAAAAGACATCTATTCATTATTATTTTTTTTTCTATTAAAATGTTTGGGAATTTTTCATTTTCTTTTTTTTTTTTCCCATTTATTTATTTTATTGCATTTT